CGCCAGACGTTCACGCTTCCGGCCTCTCCACAGCAAAATGGGATTGCTGAGCGCCGCATTGGCATGGTCATGGATGTCGCTCGTACGTCCATGATCCATGCGGCTGCTCCCCATTTTCTGTTGCCGTTCGCGGTTCAGTACGCGGCGCATCAGATCAACCTTCAGCCCCGGGTCTCCCTGCCGGAGACCTCCCCTACTCTGCGGTGGACGGGGAAGGTTGGTGATGCGTCTGCGTTCCGTGTCTGGGGATCTCGAGCTTTCGTCCGAGACTTGTCTGCGGACAAGCTGTCCTCCCGTGTTGTTCCTTGCGTCCTCCTCGGCTTTCCCCCTGACGCGCCTGGTTGGCAGTTTTACCACCCCACCTCGCGTCGTGTTCTGTCCTCCCAGGACGTCACGTTTGACGAGTCGGTTCCGTACTACCGTCTCTTCCCCTACCGCACTGCCCCCCTCCCCCCCCCGCCGCTCTTCCTCGTGCCCGGTCCCCCCCCGGTAGACCCCCTCCCCCCTCAGGGTCCTGCCCCCTCAGGTGTGTCCCAGGTAGATGCAGTCGAGCCTGTCGAGGTAGCTGTTGACTCTGGTGCTTCTGGGGGTGCTGAGCCTGAGCGTGCGGAGCCTGGGGGTGCTGGGTCTGGGGGTGCTGAGCCTGAGCGTGCGGAGCCTGGGGGTGCTGCTTCTGGGGGTGCTGAGCCTGAGCGTGCGGAGACTAGGGGTGCTGAGCCTGGGGTTGCTGAGAGTGGGGGTGCGGAGCCTGCTGGTGCTGGACCTGGAGGTCCTTCGGGTGCTTTGTCCCGGCGGGAGCTTCCCTCTCCACAGGAGCTGCGCGAGTGGTTTGCTCGGCGCTGGAGCCGTGCTGCTGGAGCTGGAGGTGCTGCCGGTGCTGGAGGTTCTGCTGCTGCTGGAGGTACTGGAGCTGGAGGTGCTGCTGGAACCGGTGCTGGAGGTTCTGCTTCTGCTGGGGGTGCTGGAGCCACGGGTCCCGGAGGTGCTCGTACTGGAGGTACTGGAGCTGCTGGGCCTGGTGGTGCTCCGGGTGCTGGAGCTACTGGTGGAGCTGGAGCTGGTGGTGCTGCTGGAGTGGGTGCTACTGGAGGTACTGGAGCCGGAGCTGCTGTGTCTGCTGGTGGTCCTGCTGGAGCTGGAGCTGCTGGAGGTACTGGAGCTGGTGGTGCTGCTGGAGTTGGAGCTGACGCTGGGGGTGCTGGTGTTGTCCCTGCTGGTTCTGGAGGTGCTACGCGGCCGCGGCCGTACTTCGTTCCGCTCCTTGAGCAGGTTCTTGGTCTTCCGCCTTCTTCTAGTCCTTCTCCTTCCTTAGAGTGTCCACCGCCTGTCCAGTCCGAGTCACAGTTACAGCTGGCCTCCCCTCTCCCTGCTCCTTCTCCCTACGCTGGTCCTACTGGAGGTCTTGCTGAGCGTCGTGAGCCTGAGTCGCGTCCTGCGTCATCTGTTCGTACTGCTCGCACTAGTCGTCGTGTTCCACGTCAGCATCCTCCTGCGGTCCCGGGCACGCATCAGATGGCACTGCGTCCTTCCACTGCGCCACAGCGTGTCCCTTTGCCGTCTCCTCCAGAGTCCTCTCTTCCTGCTCTTGATGACCCGCCGTCTGACTCCCTTCGTGCTGCCAGTCCTACTGTCACGCGTTTCCTAGCCACTGCTGTCACTGACCCTTCCTTTGAGTCCGCTGCTGCGTCTGCCTTAGTTGCCGAGCTTGTCGACTTCGCTGCTCACTGTCGTCTAGACTACGCCGCTAGTCTTGTTGCTGAGTCTGCGTCTCTCTGTCCTCCGTCCGTCGGGGGTGAGTGTGCTCTTAGCACGGACGTCCTTGAGGACAGGCAGGAGGAGTTCCAGTGTTTTGCAGTTGCTTTACCTCATCTCGTGTCTTTGCTGCTTGCCCCTGAGGGAGACCCGGATGCACCAGACATCCCGACCCCGCGCTTTTATGCAGAGGCGATAGAGGGTCCCTACTCCTCACAGTGGCAGGCAGCCATGGATGCAGAGATGGCTTCCTGGAAGTCCACAGGCACCTACGTCGACGAGGTTCCCCCACCTGGGGCGAACATCGTCAGTGGCATGTGGATTTTCAGGGTGAATCGGCCGCCGGGTTTTCCGCCTGTCTTCAAGGCGCGTTACGTGGCTCGAGGCTTCAGTCAGCGGCAGGGAGTTGACTACTTTCAGACCTTCTCCCCGACCCCGAAGATAACCACTCTTCGGGTTCTGCTGCATGTCGCTGCTCAGCGTGACTACGAGCTTCACTCCCTTGACTTCAGCACTGCTTTCCTACACGGCAGCCTGCACGAGGAGATCTGGCTGCGCCGCCCACCTGGCTTCACTGGGTCGTTTCCTCCTAGTACCCAGTGGAGCCTCCGACGGCCAGTCTACGGTCTCCGCCAGGCACCCCGTGAGTGGCACGACACACTCAGGACTACGCTTTCAGCTCTTGGGTTTGCTCCTTCTACTGCTGACCCGTCGCTGTTTCTTCGCACCGACACCTCGCTGCCGCCGTTCTACATCCTCGTGTACGTCGACGACTTGGTCTTTGCTACGGCTGACACTGCTGGACTTGCCCACGTGAAGTCCGAGCTGCAGAAGAGACACACGTGCACAGACCTGGGTGAACTGCGCAGCTATCTTGGCTTGCAGATCACCCGGGACAGAGCACGGCGCACCATTACCCTGACTCAGTCACACATGGTGCAGCAAGTCCTTCAGCGCTTCGACTTCACGTACTCCTCGCCTCAGGCCACTCCTCTGTCTACTCGCCACTCGCTCTCAGCTCTGCCTTCGGATGAGTCCGTAGAGCCGAGTGGCCCGTACCCAGAGCTTGTTGGCTGCCTCATGTACCTGATGACCTGCACTCGACCTGACCTGGCATACCCTGTTAGCATCTTGGCTCGCTATGTTGCTCCTGGGAGACACCGACCAGAGCACATGGCTGCCGCGAAGAGGGTGTTGCGCTACCTGTGCAGTACGTCGGGAATGGGGCTCGTGCTTGGAGGGCGGAGTCCAGTGGTCCTCATTGGTCACGCAGACGCGTCTTGGGTTGACGACCTGGCTACTCAGCGGTCTTCACAGGGTTACACCTTCAGCCTTGGTTCCGGTTCTGTTTCGTGGCGGTCTACCCGCTCGTCTTCTGTTCTCAGCTCCAGCTGTGAGGCTGAGATCTACGCAGGAGCCATGGCCGCACAAGAGTTACGCTGGCTCACCTACCTGCTGACTGACCTCGGAGAGCCGCCTCGTTCTCCTCCAGTTCTGTACGTAGACAACAAGGCCATGCTGGCCTTGTGTCGGGAGCACAGACTGGAGCACAGAACGAAGCACATTGCTCTTCGCTACTTCCTTGCTCGTGAGCTGCAGCAGCGTGGTCAGCTGCGCCTTGCTTACGTGGCCTCTCAGGCCAACACTGCTGATATCTTCACCAAGGCGCTTCAGCCTTGTGATCATCAGCGCTTCTGTACTATGCTAGGTCTTGTGCCTACTTGGCCTCACTTGCTTACCTCTTGACTTTACTTGTACTGTGATCTATATATACCTGCACTTGCTTGTTTACCTTTACATATAACCTTGCATGTGAACTGGCCTTGTGGCCTTTGAACCTGTGCTCGGAATGTGTGGTGACGTTGTGATCCACCCTGAGCTTGCTTTGCTTTGCTTTGCTTGACTAGTCATTCATTCCTCAATTCTTTCACAACCCTCGCCCAAAATGACCCTGATTCTGGTTTTTCCCGCTCGCGTCAGACTAAATTGACGAATCTTGAAGCAGAAACCTCTGACACACTCTCCGAGATTCTGACACAGTTTTCCGAAATCCTGACACACTTTCCGATTTTCAAGCTAATTGCAAAATTGTAAGTGTTTCAAAAACAAAGTTTTATATGCAACCGATATTCTGGCGCTCCTTCCACAAACTGCTTTTACTTAATTCTATCGTGCAACCGGGGCAAACAAATCTATGCCCCTTTTAGATGGCAAATGAATTTGGGAGCATCAACCCTAAACTCCTTGCGACAAGGCGTATATGGTTCTTTTTTGAAAAATGAAACATGTAATTCTAAAGAGGTGTATCTTTTCCACATGAAAAAAAATGGCCAACGTTGCAGTAATTACAAAACTTAAAAGCCCGATGCCCTTTCGCGGAAAGTTTTTTTTTAAATAATTTTGCAAGTTCGCAATAATGCTATTAAAAATATGATTTGAACCGTTTTTGTACGAGCCATATATATATATAAACTTTGAAACTTCTTGGTCCGTGGTATTAGACTAAACAGGGTCCTTCAAAGTCACTGGTCTTTGAACTTGTTCAAGAAAGATAAAACTGTGCGTAAAGACTTTCAAACTCGATAAATTCCTCAATTTCAGGATCATTTCGGCGGGAGTTTCATGTAGTTACCATTCGCGTGATGGGCTGCTAGTGTATAGTTACCATACGCGTTAAGCGAGTTACCAAACGTGTTAAGCGAGTTACCAAACGCGTTAAGCGAGTTACCAAACGCGTTGAAATTGTTACCGTGCGCGTTATACTGCCCCATGTAAGTTACCATTGACATATTTTCCCGATTGTAAATGCACCACCCTGACATGGCACAGCATCGCATCCCACCGCATTTTGGTACACTGATGATCCACTCACAACCCCTCATATCGCCTCCCACCCAGAGCCCTGATGACATGAATCTGGACAATACCGACATCAAGGTACTGTAGACAGCATAGCATAGCGTTCGCCTGCAGCCCCGATTCCCCAATCCCTAGGCTGCTCTTGTCTCAGCAGGACTCGTTGCGACATTCCAGTCATCTCGTCATGGCATTCCGTCGCACGAATTTCAAGCCACGCCAGCGCAGATTACGGCGCGCAATGCAATGCAACCAGCTCAGCGAAGTTGATGCGGCACACCACGACGATGCTGCTGAAAGCTCTTTCCATGGGAAGGCTGGGAATGGTCGTTTCATTTCTTTCCCGTCTCCACTAAAGTTTAGGGGCCTGGAGCTCATAAATCTCTTGCACGATGGCGCTCACGATAGCGCTTGATTCGCGGCTGACCTGGGCTGGTCCCTGCGTCGCCTCTCCGTGTGGAAAAGCGTCTCGATTAGGCCGCTTTATAGGAGCGCGGCCGTTTGTGCGATTTGGGAAAGTTCGTCGGGCGTTTCTAACATGCGCGGAGTACTTTGCCGATTCACGGGCCAGCAAGAATAAGGTGAGGGATTCGTGCTCCTGACAGGTATTCTCGATCATTTCCATATTCGGTCTTAAATCACCGAAAGCATACCTTCTTTATCGTCAGTCACAAGCAGGTTTGTTGTTTTTTCCCATCATTTCACCGTGTTGTCTTCTAAATTCCTCCCTGCGCAGTCAGACTATCCATCAGCCAGCAGCACGGACGCAGCGTCGTTTTTGAGGGAGCACATGCGGGATGAGCGGAGGACACGGGAGCACCGACAGCCCGTGACGGCCGACCGCCTGCCAGATATGATCGCGCCGTATCATATCCACAGATGCGGTCACCCGGCTGGGCTCGGGTTGGATGTCCCTCTCTCGCCGTGGGAAGCAGACCTGCTGCACGCTTCACCTGGCGTTGCTGGCTCGAGTGTGACACTAACGAGGGAGATTGAGAAACCTGGCCGCGATAAGCACCTGCTGGGCCGGGAAGTCAGCAAAGCCGAGATTGTATCAGAGGGCGGAGGGCTTGGTCTGTCGGCATCGTACCTGCTTGCCTCCCCGCCCGCATGGGACGAAGGGGAGTGTGAGCGGTACCTGTCTCACGAGCTGGGTGAAAAGAATGAGCTCTCGGGAAGCGAAGAGGCCGTGGAGTCAGCAACGGTCCAGGCTGAGTCAGCGCAGGGAGTTTTGGAGCACGGGGAAAGTGGATCTCTGGAGGAAGCTTCCTCGAAGGCGATGGATGACTACAGGCGGCGTGCCGTGGTGATGTGGGCGGTTGGTGAAGCGACGGTGAATGAGGTGGTGGAGGGTTGCACGGGGGAAGGGGGTGGTGGGAAGGAGGAGGTTAACAACGAGAATGATGGAAAAGAAGTCAGTGAAGGGGGGAATGCTGGGCATGCTTGGCAGCAGAGGTGGTGGCCCCATAAGCACACTAGGCCTCTGGAACAAAGGCATGGGTCGCAACTGGACAAGCGTTTGTAGGAACAGGTGCAGATTGGGCACATGAAGCTTGGAGGAAATGTAATTGTTAGTGTACATCTGGATGGGAGATCTTCGACGATTGTCTGTGCTACAATTATCCAGGGTTTGTGCGCAGGTGAGCTTCTTGTAAATTGCAGGATTGTTTCTTGTATCGAGTAAATCAGAGACAGTAGATGGTGTACAGTTATCCAGGGAGGAGGAACCTTTGTCATGGGATTTCATATGGCGCACAAGCATGAGAACTTCACCTCTGGTCCTGAAAGCGTTGCCCATTTTGATAGCTCAAGTTCCTCCTCGTCGTCATGGCTCAGCGTTCATTTCGTATAATTCACGTTTTGATGAGTTGGCAGCTGCTGTCTAGTTTATGGGTGCTTCTCGAGAATGCTCATCATTCACAATCCGCACGGGTCTTTGTGGGCGAGTGAAGCATGCCACTTCACGTGCCTTGCCGTTCCCCATTGCTACCGTAGCGAGGACGTCACACTGACGCGAGTTGGCAGCAGGACTATGCACCATCGTCTGCCCGCGAAATTCTCCAATTTTGTTGGAGGAGGTTGGTCAACGCGAGCTATCTCCCATTACCCCAGTCCTTTCTTTTCTCATATTTCGGCAGGCCCCAAAATAGGTTTAGGCTCACCCTTACAAATCAGAGCTCCAGCTGTGGCCAACTCTGAGTCCTAGGGTGATTTTTTTCGAAGTCTGATGGGTGCAGGGTAAAAAAAAAATTAGTCTGATCTAGTCAGTGCAAACAGGCACCCAACACTGATTGTTACTGCAAAATCCCGCACACAATGCTTTGAGGTTGTTTTACATTAAGAAAGTCGATACATATGAAAAATGTCCCACTAATCTACAGTGTAGTAGATTAAGAAAAGCTGTACATGCAGCGAGGGAAACCATGGTAGGTACAGGCTGTTACGTGATGGCGTGGCATCTGCAGCACTGGGCAAGACGAGCCACGCATCGCGCCAGTTTTGCCGTGCTGTGGCAAAAACAGCCACAGTTGGCAGGGACTATGAGCTGTATTGGCAGCAAACACGGGTGCGCTGGCACGATTCTTGCCAAAAACACCAATGGGTGCAACTTTGGGGTCAGTGGGGGGGTTTGGCAGTTTTTCACCATAGGGCGGGTGCGACAAGATGGGAGAGTGGCACCGCGTCACAGGTGCAGTGTATGTGTAGTGTAGCAGAATCCTCGCTTCGAGGAACTCGGTATCAGGGTAAGTGGGAAAGAACACTGATGAAGTCAGGGGAACGAAACGCGAACTTTGATTCTATGAGGGTAAAAAATTTCAAACAAATTTCCAGTCAGTGTTTAAAGCCTGGGAGTCTGACTGCGTCAGGGTACTTAAAAAAAAAGCGGTCGCCAGTCAGGGCAATCAGGGTAAAATACCCTGACATTTTGGGGCCTGGTCCCAGGGCCTACTTCACGATTAGCAGTGTAGCCTTTTTCAAAACCCTTCTGAGCAGTGTGCCCTTTTTGGAAACACTGATGGATCAGTGTAACTTGAACTTTGGAAAACTTTACCCAGAGGCATCAGTGTAGGTATATTATTTACCCTGATTGTAATGTAAGCAGCGCAGTACCCGTAAGCCCCCGGATAGAAGCGCAGGCCTCGGATACGCGCCGGCGCTTATACGGTAAAAGGGTGACGGCGCTTATATCCGGTCGATTATAAGCCCACCCCCTAAAAAAAGATGATTTATTATAAGCGCATGTTGGTTTTTCATTTGAAAACCTGACGAAATACAGAAACAAATTTCAGATTATCAGGGAAACGAACTACAATTTCGATCTCAATTTTTGAGTTGTGCAGTGAATCACTCCCTGCCAAGCTGTGCGAGAATCAGATTCGCGACCCTAAATGTTTTCGACTCGATTACAATCGGCAGAACAAGATGTACAGTTTGGTGTAAAACAGATAGAAATTCTTTTTGCCATTTTATAAATGCCGGCGCTTATAAAATTCCTCAATTATAAGCGCACCCCCTAAAAAACAGTGTTTTTTTATACCCCCAGGGGCGCTTCTATCCGGGGGCTGACGTTAGCGTATGGCCCCGGATATAGGCGCCGTCCGATTAAGGGCGCCGGCGCTTCTATCTGGAGCATGGCGCTTATGGCCGGAACTCGATTATAAGCGCCCCCCCTCTAGAGGGTGTACTTATTATAAGCGCACCCCTTTCACGTTGTGGAGGTTTCATTACAAAAAAAAACATCAACAATTAACACTAAACATGAGCATGATAAATTTTCACCTACAACATAAACACTGTCAGTTTTATCTAACTAAAAATTGCTAAGTTTAGCATTTCTGCATAGAAAATATACTCCTCGTCGGATTTGGGCTCCTAGCAGTTGTTGCCAAAGAAGCCATCGGCGATGATGGAATCATCGACGTCCACCTCCGCGGTCAGCTGGCTCCGCCTGTGCGCCATGGCAAGGCCTGTCAGATTTATATGACATAGCTACTGTAGGCTATAGTGGGGTAGCACATATGGGGTACAGTTTTCTAGGGTTTACATTTGTACCCAACTTTCCCTTAGTCAATTCATTCTCGTTCAGTTCCTCATGGTATCGAGCAGGTTCCCCTGTGGGAACTGTTCCTAGGGCCCACCACCTTTTTTTTCCTGCCCGGAGCGCGCTCTACACTGCCCGAGTCGCGCTCCCCTCTCTCGACCCTGTCGCGCCGCCTTAGCGGCCCCGTCGCGTCGCGCCTGCGGCCCCGTCGCGTCGCCCTCGCGGCCCCTGCACGTCGCGCCGCCCTAGCGGCCGCGTCGTGCCGCCCTCGCGGCCCCGATCCGCCGCCCTCGCGGCTCCTTCGTGTCGCGCCGCCTCGCGGCCCTTTCACGCCGCCCTCGCGGCCCTTTCTAGCCGCCCTCGCGGCCTCTTCAAGCCGCCCTCGCGACCCCCCCCTCCTAGCCGTCCTCGCGGCCCCGTCGCCTACCCCTGCGGCCCCGGCGCCGCCCTTCCCTGCCTCGGCGCCGCCTCTGCTGGCCCCGTCGCCTACCCCTGCGACCCCGGAGCTGCCCTTCCCGGCCCCGGAGCTGCGCTTCCCGGCCCCGGCGCCGCCTCTACTGGCCCCGACGCCGCTCCACCCGGCCCCGACGCCGCTCCACCCGGCCCCGACGTCGCTCCACCCAGCCCCGCCGCCGCTCCACCCGGCCCCGCCGCCGTCCCCACGCGGCCCCGCCGTCACCACCGAGCCGCCGGCGCCGCCGAGTTACTGCCGAGCCGCCCGATCCACCAGAGCCGCCCGAGCCGCCGCGCCACCTGAGCCGCCCGAGCCGCCGGGTCGCCGAGCCGCCGAGCTGCAGTTGCTGCCGAGCCGCCGTACCGCCGAGCCGCCCGAGCCGCCCGAGCCGCCGAGTCGCCGAGTCGCAGTTGCTGCCGAGCCGCCGTACCGCCGAGCCGCCCGAGCCGCCCGAGCCGCCGAGTTGCCGACCCGCCGAGCCGCTCGAGCCGCCCTGTCCGGTAAGAGCAGCGCCTCTGTCACTGCACTGCCCTTACCCTACTGTTCGCGCTGCTAGTCTACTGCTGTCATGGCTACCCCTAGTGTCCTCGCTTTTGACGCTGAGGGTCGGGCCATTGACTTTGACGTCTGGGTAGATGACCTGCAGCTTTTCCTACAGTGCGATAGGGCAGACGGTCTCTCCCTCTTTGACCTCACCTCTGGTGCCTCTCCTGCCCCTGCTGCTGATGCCGACGCCACTGTTCGCTCACAGTGGGCCACACGCGATGCTGCTGCACGTCTTGCTGTGCGTCGCCACCTGCCTACCTCTGAGCGTGCGCACTTTAGCCAGTACAAGAGTGCTCACACCTTGTACGACGCTGTAGTTGCGTACTACTCCTCCCCTGCCACTGCTGCACTGAGCCGCCTCATGCTACCGTACCTCTTCCCTGACCTTGCTGCCTTTCCCACAGTCGTTGACCTCATTACGCACCTCCGCACTAGTGACACTCGCTACCGCGCTGCGCTTCCTGCTGAGTTCTGCGCCAAGAACCCCCCCCCCATGTACATCACCCTCTACTACATAGTCACCCGGCTCCCTGACTCCCTTCGCGTAGTCAGGGACCACTTTCTCTCAGTTTGCCCCACCACTCTCACCGTTGACCTCCTCGAGAAGGCCCTCCTAGCAGCAGAGAAGAGCATAGTCGCTGTAGGAGCCTCTCGTGGTGACCCTCGCACCCCCGTCTTTGAGGGGTGTTCCCCCTCCCCCCTTTTGCCCTCTGTTGCCTCTGCTGCTGCGGCCGACCTCGTTGGTTTCGAGTCGGTCGGCGCTGCGTCTGCCCCGAGCGGGAGACGCCGCACCGGCAAGGGCAAGGGGGGCAAGGGTGCTGGAGGGGCTGGCGGGGGTGGCGGAGGTGGCGGTGGCGGCAGTGGAGGGGGTGGGGGTGGTGGTGGGAGTGGTGGCGGGGGTGGAGGTGTCGGTGGCGGCAGTGGAGGCGGAGGCGGCGGCGGCGGTGGCGGTGGGAGCGGAGGTGGCGGAGGTGGCGGCGGTGGAGGAGGCGGCGGCGGAGGAGGTGGAGCTGGTCGGGGTGGCGCTGCGCAGAGGGTCGGCTCCGGTGGTGGTCAGCGCCAGCAGCAGCAGCAGCAGCAGCGGCAGCAGCGCACTCGTGACATCCCCCCCCCTCAGCAGCTCCGTGAGTGGTACGCTGCACGCCAGCGGGGTGGGGGTACTGGTCCGTGCACCTACGTCCTACGCACCGGCGACCGCGCGGGTGAGCAGTGCGGGGGTGCGCACTCCACCCAGCGCTGCTTTGGCCGCCTGACGGACGCTTGGTGTCACCAGTTCCCTGAGGCCACTGAGATCCCCCGCTGGGGCGAGCTGTCTAGGGCGGGTGTAGCTGTCTTTGACCTTGACTTTGATGCTATTCTTGCTGCCATGTATGCTGTGACTATTAGTGATGAGGGTGACTGTTACCGGTGTTTTCCGCCCGACCCGGGCATTGAGACTGCTGCTCTAGGTACTGGTGAGGCTGCTGCTCTAGGTGCTAGCGAG